TTGCCTCATGGCAGCACGGGTGCCCACAATGTCTTCCAAGTTGTCAATAAGATTACCCCTTCCTATCAATGTACTTTCCATTGATTAGGGTCTCTTGACTCTGTGCAATCCACATGAGAACTCACAGAACTCACATTGCATAGTCAACTTAAACCGGAATGGCACATAAACAAAATTATGTCAACATGATAGGTTACAAACCTCAAGTCGCGCGCTAGTGTTTACTCTTGATTAATTCTTTAATCCTTTCAAGATATTCAGACTCCCACTAACCTCTTGACATATTAGATTCTCTTATCAAGAACATTTCTTGATAAACAAATATCCAAGAGTTAGTGTGTGTCTATATCAAGACAAAACATTACACACATTTGGTTTTAGTTGGTCTTTAGCTTTTTAAAGACATCACAACATACCAAATTCAAATGTGTAGCAGTAGGAAAACAATTTTCTACTTCACATTTGATGAATGCATGTCACTCAATTCACAATCTTGGAGTACGATTCTAAGACTTGATTTTGGAACGAAGTATGACTCATCCTTTTGATTTAACCATTTCAACAATTTCTGATTCCTCTTCTTAGCCATACTAGTGCACTAAGATGTCCTTAGAGAATCAATTATGATATGGTTCTTAATCATTAAGACCCATCATAAAACATAATAAAAGGTACTCTCCCTTCTTCTTAGAATAGAGAAACTTTTATCTTTTGCCTACTTGATTCTTCTTTATTCGTTCTGCTATTTATTGAAACTCTTTCAATCAACTGAGAATTATACTTAATCTCATAAGTATAATCATATTTACTTAACCTTAGTAAATCATGACGAATATCTTTGTTACTCTTGTGGTGGACTTGATCAATACACAACCTTGTGTACTCGATCTCCTAGTCCTTCACTTGACACTTTGTCAACGAATTAGTCTAATTTCCAAATATGAAATTTCTCATTCATCATGCAACCAAGTTGTATGATTCCAAGTTTCTATCCAACTGAAACTTGGGCGATGAGAAACTTTCCCTATTTGGTAAATTCTTGACCTTTCCACAAATAACATAAGTAAGAATCAAATCCATTATTGCTTATAATAGAAACTTACAAACATCAATTTTTTCATACATGCCATTGCAAGGATAAATAAATAAAATAAAATCAAAATTTATTTTATTGCGGAAATTTTTTTCCTTACAATGCAATTGAAAAACTATGTTGTTACATATTCCTAAGCAATCTATTCTAACTCCAAGTAGTAGCTTAAGAATCTAATCTTCAAACAATGCGATCGAAATCCATTTCTTCACGTTTAGATTCAGCTCACTTCTTCCCTTAAGCTTCCTTTCTTTTCTTCGATCCTACAAAACATCAAAATGTAATCTTATCACATCATGTATCAAGAATCTAGAATAGGAACTTAAAAGAGTTCGTTGATGGATTTTACCTAAAGTAGAGTCATACGTTTTGACTCTCCCCTCTCTTAGATCTCTTAAGTAAATAGGGTAGTTTCGTCTCCAATGCCCCTTCTCTTGGCAATAAAAGCAAATGGACTCTTTTGGAATGGAACAAGGAACTATCTCAGAATCTACCTTTTCTGGATCTCCAATGTCACCATTTCAATATCCATTGAAGTTTGGGAGTTTGATTTACCAGACAAATTTGCTCAACCAGCTCGCCAAATCATCGTTGATTCAGCAGCTATAAGCAAACATGTCAAATCAATGAGGGTCACTTCATGATCCATCATATAGTACTTTCTAACGAACTCACTATATGATTCAGGAAGTGACTGAAGAACCTAATCGACAGCCAACTTGCTTGAAATCTCGACACCTAACATCCTTAACCTATTGATGTGTGACTTCATCTCTAAGACATGTGCACACACATGTTTCCCATCTTCATGTTTACTTGCCAAAAGGGCTTGAGTGAGCTTGAACTTTTCAAGCCTTCGAACTTGTGGGTTAGGGAGAATAATTGGAGGAGGTGGAGGAAGTGAAGCATGATCTCTTGTTCCTCGATCGAATCGTGGATCATCATCTTCATTTGGAAAGCTTGTTCCATGGAATTTGGAAAGACCATAGTTGTCATACTTTGACATCTACAAAACGGGAGAAAATTCAAGTTAAGTTGATTAGAATCCTCGATGTGACACCCAAATGAAACATTGAGGCTAGGATCCAACACAATATTCTACAACCTAGAAGAGGGATGTCGTAATCTAGTTTGTAGAATATTTGAAGGTAGGTAAACGACGATTTACCAATTTCCACCATGAAAAACGAAAAGGAAACTTAAGTTTTAAATGTATTGAAAACCCTTAGATCTTTTCAGATTCATTGAACTTTTCAATGGCATGTTTAAATCTCGACATGCCCCACGATTTGTAACTGGCATGTCGAGGATCACAAAACAGAGGGTGAATAACCATGCAAACTTACATGGTGCCCCCAATGTTACAGTCACCTATTTGATGTGCCGGTTAACCACACACGCTCCACCGAACTATGTCAAACATTGAGTCACCCTTTGCTACCTTTTCTTAGAACCATTTAGTGGTTCGGTTAACCATATGCGCTCCACTAACGTCTTCGCAAGGGCACAAAGTGTAATTTCATGGAATTGCATCAATTCACTTTTGCCTAAAGTAACTAAGATTGGGAATTTTGTAAAAACATTTAGTTACTTTATACTTCATTTTACTTTTAATGGAAAGGATTTGTCTCATCCTACCCGTTCGGCTAACGACCCTCCACCAATCAAGGAAGCAGTGGGTGAGAATGGACACCCATTAAATGACCATTTTATAGGGCCATAACCTTATACCCCCCCTTATAGATCGGCTTCGTGAATGAGGCCTACTAACGGTAAGACTAGCATTTAAGTTATACATATATAATATTAGACTTTTAATGTTATACATAGTATAAGGGTGTATTTTACACTTTTAAAATACTAGGTGGTGTAATTTTATAAATTACACTTTTAATTTAATTAAATATAAACCATATCATTATGGATTTATTAACTCTCTTTTAATTATACACTTAATTAATTTAATAAAACCATAAGGGTGTAATTTGAACTTTTCAAAATTAGGGTTTTAGAATTTAGACTTTTTCAAAATTAAACCTTTTAATTAAACAATTTAAATTCCAAAACTTGAGGGCAAGTTTTAAAACTTTTCAAAACATAAGCAAGAACATTCTAGATCAAATTACAAATAAAAATAATTAACCAATTAATTAGTAATTATCTAAATATGACCTAATTCAATTTCTTGCAAGATAATCTATTAAATAATTCAAATAAATCAAGTTTATCATATAAGGAAATGATTATCTAATTAATTTGAAAATTATCTTTTACTTTGGTAAGGAGATCTTTTAAATTAAACAACTAATTTAACCTAATCCCTTAAATCCCCTAGAATTCGAAATTATGGGATGGGATATTCAAAATCTTTAATTGCCAAATTTAAACATTTAAAGGATAATTACAAGATATGACAATATCCAAATCCCTAAAATTTAGGCTCTAATCATGGAGAAAGAGGCAATTTCGAAATTCTAGGGTTAGACAACCCTAAAATCGAAATCTTGGGGCCAAAGAAAAAGGTTTAGGAAATCTTACCAAAAATTTCGAAATCTAGGGTTTAGAAACCCTAATTTCAAAAATCAAGCCTCCAGGGTTTATTAACCATAAACCCTAATATGTCAAGTTCATACATTTGAATAAAGCTAATTGAAAACAAAAACCAATGGTTCTGATACCACTGATAGGTTTTATACAAACAATCATATGTGTGCATGTAACCCTTGAGTTGGATCTATGTTTTCACTATTAGTTATACAACTTTATGAACACAAAAAGAAACCTAGCATGCTACTATTATTTTCGAAATTCATATATAAAATATAATACATACCTTTTGTTGTTATATAGCAATAACAACTAGTTCCTTGAATCTCCTTAGCTCTTGAAAGCAAGTACCACAAGTGTAGTACCTCTAATGGCTCACAAACACACTAGGTGAAAGGATGGATATGGGAGAGAGGAGAGAAGGGTATCTTGCCCTAGATTTCGTCCCTTTTAGGGTTCCCCAAGTCTTGTACGAAATCTTAGTGCCTTAGGGTGCTATTTATACTTAAGGCTAACTAGGGTTTCAAGGTGTAAACCCTAATCCCTTAGCTTAAGGCCTAAGCAAGTCCATGGACTCCTTTCCTTAAGCCCTTAGACGAAAACTCCTAGATCCTTCTAGGATTTTCGTTCAAGCCTTAATAAAGGTGATCCAATGGCCCAAAGCCTCAACTATTGAATAATTACAAAATAGCCCCTGCACTTTCAGTTAGTTCCTTTAATCCCAAAATTAATTCTAAATTAATTTCTGATTAAATATTGATTAATAATATGATTCCAAATTAATATATTATTCACATAATATATTAACAAATCATATATATACCCTAATTTATTATTCTTAACAATAAACCAGCCTCTCTGCTCAACAATCATCCTGTCTAGTCACTAGTGTGAAAGCAACCCAAAAGGACCATGCACAATCGGGTCAAGTACATACCAAAATAGTTATGGACTTAGACACTAATCCAACACTATGATGGCTGCAAGTATCTGCTCTCTGGTATAGGATTCAACATTGGAAACGGTTCTCGAATGCCATCCACATTTTACCCCTAAGAATCTAACAAGTGTATGCCACCTCATCAGGAGAAGTATGACATCATATGGTAAACTAACTAATCAAAATGCTCATTGAGGATTATTCCTTATTTTAGTAAGGTATATTAATAAGTTCAGCTAATATTTAACTTACTTAATTGGTTATTGGTATTTTTATTTTCTTTTAGGAACATTAACAAGCCGATGCAGATCTTGTTCAAATAGTTGTCTCGGGTATGTATGTCAGTTTATTATTTTAATGTTATGCGGATCTTGTTCAAAATCATCACAAAATTGTATGTGTTGAAAAATCATCACAAAAATGTTTTTCTCCTTAAACATGCTTGTGCGTGTAGTTCTATTGGATAAGATACTTGATGAAGTTCCCATGGTAAGCGTAATATGGTGTTTTTCAAGTTTGTGTCACCACAACAACTGATTTCTCATGTTTGTTATGATATTATTCTGCTTGTGCAGCTTGTAGAATTTATGCTAAGTAAGGTCATAGAAGAGTTTGAGAATCACATCACTAGTCAAGTTGAACTGGTAAAGCTTCTTAGCTATGTTGTTTCCTAATTTCCTTGCTTGGTGTTTCAAGTACAAATATAATTACTGCAAAGTTGTCTTAAAGTCAATCATACATGCTTGACATTTTGTATATTCTTGATCACTAAAAACTTGTAGTTGCTAAAAATACCTTTAATGGAAACATGACTTACTGGTAGATCATTTTGATTCTACTCTCATACATACCATGTGTATTATTAATTAGTTGATATTGATATTGTACAACTGACATGATTATTGTGTAGGATTTCCGTGTTGCTTTTTATCAAGAGTCGGGATTGATATTGAATCTAAGAGACATGATGATTGGTTTGATACATGAAGGTTTTCAGAGCTTCTTTAGACAGCTTAATAATGAGTTGCTGAAACAAGAAGGTTCCCCTTTATATCAATGTAGCATTAGGTTTTATAGTTAGGAAAACCTCTTAATAACAATGTACAATCATATCCCTTTAATATCAATGTATTATAATTTTTCGACATGATGTTATTGGATTGAATTGATTGTTTTGGTGTGTGTGTGTGTGTATATATATATATATATATATTTTGGTATTATCTGTAAAAGAATATCGTAAAGGCACGTCGTATATGGTTATTGTAAATGATTGTTGAAGTTTATGAAATGCAAATGCGTGTCATCTTCATTTATGACAGAGGCTATAATGATACGCAATGCGTGTCCTCAACGCGCATCGTAAGGTTACGACACACAAATGAGTGTCGTCTTCCTTTATGATAGGGAATTCCTTGATATGCATTGCATGTCGTAAATGAGTGTCGTAAATGCATGTCATAATTGCACGTCGTAACTGCGTGTCGTCTATAGACGACACACAAAAGCGTCCTGTCTCTCATTATGACAGGCCTTCCTTGACACTCATTGTGCATCGTAAAAGGCAGTTTTTCTAGTAATGGAATTTTAGTCCAACTTTAGATGTGGAGAGAACCAGTGTGTTCCCAAAGAACCCTTCAAAATGTAGGTTCACTTATCTTGTTAACTAATTACACAAAGTCAAACAACTTCACATATACATTTCAACGCTTGAAAAATTTTTACACACACGTATGCTTATCAGTTTAACTGTTTGCAAAAAAAAAAACATATAATGATTAAGATTTTCTAATTACGGAGGATCAAAAAAATCAAAACTAGAGATGCACATAAAAAGGTATTACCTCTTTTGTAGTAACAATGGGATAGAGATCATCAAACTTATGAAACTGATTTTTATATTTGGTGTCAAAATACTCATATATTGAATTCTTCAAGATTCCAAGAGGATGATGATCTCTTCTCTAAAGTTGCAATCCAAGTTTAGTGAATATCAAATCAGGGACATTATTTGTCGGTTCATCTTCACCACATCTATATCACACAATGAAAAGCATAAATAGATTTATAACTCCAAAGCCATGACTTGATAAGATAGCATTTAATCAGTGCTATATGAGAAGGTGGTCGAAGAAAAAAGAAATGAAGGTACATTTATAAAGTTAAAAATTCGATTTTATGAGTAAAAAACACATCCAAGCACTATCTAGATTGTATTTCAACCGATTATTAGACTATCAAATATCACTTGAAACTTTAAAACCTGAAATCCAAACACCTCCTAAAACAAGAAATCTTCAATTTTCCACAATCAAAACAATACAATCCGCCTGAATCAACGTGTATGTAAAATTTAACATCTAATCAAATCAATGATGCTAATGTTTACGGTCAAAAGAATAAATATTTGGGGTGGATAAATGTAAAACAATTCTAATAAGTATGAAAAAGTGCATGCAAACACCCTCACATTTGTATTTTCTTTTAATCATGCATCGAGTAATGGAATTTTGTGTGTTGTTTACCTGTAGATATCACATTCAGGGAAAAAGTTGTCGAATCATGTGATGATGATGGATGCTATGTTGTAAATATGGATGAAGTTGACTTGAGCATTGAGAACTATGAAGAACTCTTTGGTGCAGGCCATAATGATCTTGAACATGCTTTTGCAAAAGATGGGATTGATTGTTTGTTTGGTGGTGCCGAATCAAATTGTCATGGTTCATATGATGCCAATGTATTACTCTCATTCAATTACCCATGATTTTTTTAATTCAATTTAAAAAAACAAGATTTGATTTTATGTGTTTTTTATGTGGTTAGGAATCATCAACTAGACATGGGAATCAAGTGCAACCAGCATGCAACAATGCAGCATTAGCAGATTCATTAATAAGTTGCAAAACAAAACCAAATCCTTGTTATGAAAGACAACACTCACATATATCATTCTCAAGTCTCCCAAGAGAGAGTGGTGCCCGTGAATATCAAGATTGTGGAGCTTCTTCTTCAATGCTTCTAATGTTTTGTGTTACATTAGTGAGAAAATATTTTAATTCACTTTTGTTTTTCTTGGTTATTTAGATGCAAGAAGCGGTAAAGTCGGAAGAGAATACTGAGAGATCTTTTTTATGGATAAGGGTGTGACAATTGAAAAAAGGAGGTTATGACCCAAATCTGCAGATTGTTGTCCATAAAATTGTAAGATTCATTGAAAAAACCTAATCTACTTTTTTTTAATCTGAAATGCAGGAAATAACAATGTACTTAGCTATTTCTTGTGTTTAAGTTTCCTTTACCATAAATAAGTAGAAAGTAAGCTGCCATTTATTGTACTCACGTTTTCTTTACCATGATTTACTTTGTTATTTTTGCATTTAAGCTTCCTTCACCATAAATAAGTAGAAGTAAGTTGCTATTTCATTCATTTAGGACTTTTGTGTTGTAGAATTTTCACATATATATATATATATATATATATATATATATATATATATATATATATATATATATATATATTCTTTAATTGATGAAAGACTAGAAGTGTTATAGAATATATACATATATAATTGTTTAATAGTTTTTTCCTAATATATTAATTTTTGTCTCAGTTTCGGGGGACGAATAAACATACCAACATCGAGCTTGATAACATGCATAGGACATAAAGAATGGGCTATGTATATGACAACCTTTATTTACCTGTGATATGTATTTGACAATTACATTTTGATGAATTTTGATATATTTTTGAATTTGACACTACTTTGTGTAATGGATTTCCTTTTTATGTATGTATCATATTTTATTTTGCATTATTAGACATTACATATGTAATTTAGTTTGATTAAGATTTGGTAGAAATTTTGAGGATATATATATATATATATATATATATATATATATATATATATATATATATATATATATATATATATATATATATATATATATATATATATAAATAAGAGGAGGTTCAATAGAGAACTTTAATTAACCAAGAAACCAAAAAATAAATTCGATAAAAATAAAAATACAGAAATTAATAACTTGTTATCCTTTTTCAAATGATATCAAATTCGATAAAAATAAAAAAATAAATTTCGTCAAATTCACAATGTGAATCATTGAAAATTCACAATGTTAATCTAAATTCACACGGCGAATCCAAAAATTATATTTAACATTCACTGTTAAGTTATTAATTTAGATATTTTTCGTTTCTTGTTCGATAAAGAATAAGTTCTAGAACATGAAAAAATTATTTGGTTCCTTGGTGAACCAATAATTATGCTTCTTTATTGAACTTTTTCCCATATATATATATATATATATATATATATATATATATATATATATATATATATATATATATATATATATATATATATATATATAAAATGTTAATTTGAAACCATGCTAATTTTGTGAAACCGTCAGAGCAAATCTAAAAATAATTTTAAAATGGAAAATAAAAGGAAAAATCCAAAATTTATTTTTTAATTATTATTTTCAGAACTTTATTTAACTAAAAAAATAAAAAATAATAAAAAAAATTACAATTTTTTTTTAAATATGTGAAATATTCTAATACAATATTATACTGTACATATTATAATATGATTTTTAGAATGTTTAGAATATTATATTAGATTTTGTCAGATATGTAGAATATTCTAAATATTTTACTAAAATATGTAAAAAATGTATGTTTTTTCTATTTATTTTATATTTTTTTGGTATTTTTTTCAGAAAATATATATTCCGAAAATAATATTGAAAAAAAATTCGAAAATTTTCAATTATTTTGCATTTTAAAAATGTTTTTTGTTTTATCTAATAAATGAGTGGCTAGGATTGCGTCTCACGATCTCATAAAATTAGGTTGTCTCACATTAATCTAACCCTATATATATATATATATATATATATATATATATATATATATAGTCCAGATCAAATAAGAAGGAAATTTTGGTAGGAAGGTAAGAAGTTTTTTTTCTACATATTTTTTTTGCGAACAAACAAAATGAATCATTGGATGATTCATTTGTAAGATGATTCACAAGAAAAAATTTTCAAAAAACATTTTGATGATTCATTTATACAATCATTTTGTGGTTATTCACTAAAATTATCATAAAAATGAAGTTTTTTCTTAATTTACTTAAACATGAATCATAAAGATGTTTTTTTTGAGAATTTTTTCTTGTGAATTATCTTACAAATGAATCATCTAGTGATTCATTTATTTTTTTCGTCAAAAAAATATGTAGAAAAAAAAACTTCTTACCTTCCTACCAAAAAAATTTTCTTACCATATATATATATATATATATATATATATATATATATATATATATATATATATATATATATATATATATATATATATATATATATATATATATATATATATATATATACAAGTAGGCTTATGCGAAAACATAAATATGTTGCGAAAACGTGCAAACAGATTTTCTCTTATAAAAATCAAACAAAAGTACTATAAAAATTAAATTTATTAGAAATAAATTAAATATAATAAGTTTACACTGGATTGCCTAATGATAATATAGATTTAAAGAAGGTTTTAACAACTATTTTTTTTCGTCTTTAACCATTTTTAAATTCATGTTTTCATAATAAAAATATCAAAAATCATGTTTTGTTAATATGAAATAATTTCACATATATCATCGATTATCATGATTTAGTTCAAAGTTTAGATGAATTAGTATCCAAAATATAAGAATGAGGTGACACAATTTCATAGTTTTTTTCTTGTTTTCGCGTTTTCGCAAATTATATGAATTTTCGCATGAACGTATATATATATATATATATATATATATATATATATATATATATATATATATATATATATATATATATATATATATATACGTTTAGGTTCATTTGAGACCATTCTAATTTTGTGAGACTTTGAGACCAAATCTAAAAATAATTTTAAAATGCAAAATAAATAGAAAAATCCAAAAATTCTTTTTTTAAATATCATTTTCGGAACTTGAATTAACTAAAAAAATAAAACAAAAATTAAAAAAATCCAATTTTTTTTTTTTTGAAAAATACGTGAAATATATTCTAAATACAATATTACACTGACATATTCTAAAAAATAATTTTAAAATGCAAAATAAATGAAAAAATCTAAAAATTCTTTTTTTAATATTATTTTCGAAACCTGATTAACTAAAAAAATATAAAAAAAAATAAAAAAAGATCCTATTTTTTTTGAAAAATACGTGAAATATTCTAAATAGAATATTACACTGTATATATTTTAAAAATAATTTTAAAATGCAAAATAAATGGAAAAATCAAAAAATTCTTTTTTTAAATATTATTTTCTGAACTTGAATTAACTAAAACAAATTAAAAAAATAATAATAAAAAAAATGCGTCTCACGGTCTCACAAAATTAAGCTGTCTCACATGAACCTAACTCTCTCTCTCTCTCTCTCTCTATATATATATATATATATATATATATATATATATATATATATATATATATATATATATATATATATATATATATATAATTCAGATTAAATAAATTTTAAAAATACAGTAAAAACTTTAAAATGAAATTTCAGTCATTTGTTAAAGAAAATCAATACCGGAGATTTAATGTACGATTATGCAGTTAGATAGGATCACACACCGATTGCCCTTTACCCATAACATGATTGTTAATGTGGTATTTTTGAATTATTGTATATAAGATGGGTCTATTTTGTTATGTTTTGTTTTTGAATTTGTCAAATATCAAATTCGAAGTCGATCAAATATTCTAAAGATCTATAAGTTGGTTTAGGTTTATTTAAATATTTGATATTTACAATCCTTTTCATCGTTTTACTAAAGAAAACATAATATTATTTCATCAGTATTGTTATTTTTTTACCAGTTTGAAGATATAAAACTTATAATATTCTTTAAAACAAATTAACAAAATTGTTTAAAGGTCGATCAAATCCGTTTTAACCTGTACATAAAATTTGATATTTTATAACTCCATGTCAATTTAACCTATTATCTAACGTTTTTAACTATGGTACCTTATATTCTATATTTTATGATTATTTTAGAAAGAAAGATGTTTCCGTAACTATTGTGTGCCATAATGCAAAGATCTGGACCAACGGATGAATAGAATCAACAATCATGATCTGAGGGTCTATGATATTACAATAGTGTAGCATGTATCATATAATCATACAACTTTTATCAAAAGGGTATTTTGAACAATTAACTACATTTATAAAAGGAAATTTTCGGATTTTTAGCGATGATTAATTCTCCAAATTTAAAAAAATCTGAATTTTTAATTAATTCAATTTCAATTTTTACCGATTTTATTCTATCAGAATATTTTTTTGTTAAAATGATACCCTTTCAGAATTGTATTCTAATAGAATATTACTGAAGAAAAACAAAATTCATGAATAAGATGTTCAAATAACAAACATTCTAATATATTTTTATACATCCGAACTTAAATACAAATTCATACATATTCTTACAGACTAAAAGTCTTATACATTTTAATATAGTTATAAAAATTCTAAAAGAATATAAACAAAAATGAATAACATTCTTAAAAAAAAAAATAACAACATTCCACTAGAATACTATCGTGTGCCATGTTTTCTTCTTGAATTCTTGAATTCTTGAATTCTGAAAGAATATTGCTGTTTTTGGATGTTGAATCTTGAAATTCTGAAAGAATATTGTTGCTTTTCTTCATTCTTTGAAAATGAAGTATCATATATCTTTTTTTTCATAAGTTTCCTCATCATTCCTGCATCATCCTAACAACTGCACCTGAGTAGTTCCAGTTACAGTTTTTCTTCATTCTTTGAGGATAAAGTTGCTAAATTTTTGGATTGAAGTAGTGCTTGAAGAAGTTCCAGTTACAGTTTATTCAAAAAAAACTCCAATCTATCACCAAGAAAAACTTTTCAATTTATCTGTCAAAGAAACGTCAAAATGAGAACTGTCAAAAGTTCAAGCATATTAAACAAGAGCTTTGAGACGAAAAAACCAAAATCAAAATCAATTATACCTCAACTAGTAAATCATCCTGCCC